AAAAAAAAAAAAAAGCAGCATTAACACCCTTGGGCATGCAGGGGAATGCCAGCCTGCCTCCCGACTTTCCTCCTTCCATCCCCTTTGTCTCTGACCTCCCTCAAACTTTATTTCTATCTCTTTACACCAAGAGAATTAACGCCCAAGCACAGATGGAACCATAGTCTAAGGATGATCTCGATCTCAAGGTGCAGCTGGGAGGGACCCCAAGGGAGCAGGAGCAGGAAAGGTGATCTCCTGTGCGGCTGGGGAAGAAAAGGAAAGAGCCAATGAGGACCCCCACCCAGCCCAGCCCAGCCCCGCACTCTGTCTCTTCCACAGGCCCTTTGGACAGGCGCTACGGCCCCTCCTGGACTCCATCCAGATCCAGCCGCCCGGCGGGAACAACGTGGGCAGACCCACTGGCCAGAGCTAACAGGACTGCAGGCTGCCCCGCCTCACCAGGGCTTTTCCTCTTTAAACAAAACAAACCCGACCAGATTTTCTGTTTTATAATTTTACATCAGAGCTAGCCACCAGGGGCTGGCTTTCCCAGTCTCCCAGGGAAGGAGCACGTCCCGCTGCATGTAGGCCGGCGCTGCTCAGAAACAGAACAAAACGCCACCCCACCCGCCTACTAGTATTACAGGACTTTATGAAGGCTGTCCTGTCTGTGCGTTCACTTCTGACGCTGCTTGGTGAGCGGCCTCCACGTGGAGAAGGGAGGGGGTTGCTGAAGCAGGAAGTGAGAGACCAGGGTTGGGGGAGTCTCCAGCTAGAACCTCTTCCCAGAGAAGGCCCCGGCTCCCTCCACCCAGGTGTTGAGGCCCAGGTGAGTTTTACAGCCCGCCCTGCCCCCAGCCCTGAAGGAGCTCCAGTGTGAAATGAACCAAAGTTTGGGGAGCCCTAGGAGTAGGCTCAGGAAGACTGACCCAACCTAGTGAGCTCCTTAGCCACCACACCTCCCTCTCCTCCCTGTCCCAGGCCCTGGGAGACCCAGCCAGAACATAGGGCAGGGGCAGCCAGAAGCTTCCAGAACAAGGGAGAGCCACAGCATGTCAGGCCAGAGAAAACAGGATAAAGCCATTCATTCCTCCTTCCACCGCGAGTGATGGCCAGGCCTCTGAGGCAGGGCTAGAAAACTGCCTTGCTGCCCATGGGGCCGCGCTTTCTCTGTTTAACTGACCTATCAGAGCAATGAAGGTTGGCACTGGGGGTAGAACCCCAGACCTTTGTCTGCAAATAATAAGAGAGCTTATTTGTAGCCCCTTCCTCCACCTTCCACCCCCCACCCCCCACATCTGCAGTATTAGGCAGGGAACCGAGCACCGTGTCTGCACTAGGAAGGTGCTCAGCTGTCACATAGGCTCGAAGCGTGGAGGTCGGAGTTGTCTCCTGATCCTCAGTGTGCTGAAGACACACATTACTTCCGTTGTGATTCTCCCGTGGAGGGGACAAGGTGGAGGTGCAGGTGGGCACCTTCTCAATGACCTTGTGCTAGGAATTCTAAGAGCAGGGAGCAGGCTGGGACACTCTGATCTGTCCTGTGAGCCTCCCCTACATTTGATTTTGGGGAGTCTTGTGTTGGCATTCTTGGGCCACACACATCCCCTCCTGCCACAGTTCCCCTGCCCCCCAGACTCTGTGATGTCGCTACTCCCTGGGGGCTCTGGCCTGCAGCTGGGGCCTTTCCTTGCCTCCCACCATGCAGTTGGCATGACCATGACCAGCTAGAAGAGAGGTGCTACCTGCCTCCTACTGACGTGGGACCTGGTCAGGGCCCTGTCAGTGATGACCAAGTGACAAGGTCAAGTGACATTTGGGGACTTTCAGGTTGAGGCTTTTCTAGACCCCCTTCATTTGCCAGTGTGCTTGGTGACACTATATTAGAGCAGACAGGGACCAAGCAGGTGGTCAGTGTGGCCCTGCGAGTGCGATTGAGCCTGAGGGGCATGGGCTCTAGAGGCCGGGTCTCCCTGAGAGAAATGGGCCCAGACCCTCACTCGGCTTCCTGACTTCATAACCTTCCCAGGGGAGCTCCAGCTTGCCCAGCCCCGCCCTCTCCCTCTCTCACCCCAGAGAGTCCCCAGCTTCAGGCTCTTCTCGCCCAGGGCTGTCTGGAGAAGCTCACCTGGGCGGGTCCTTGAGGGAAGCTGGGCCACTTGTTTGTTGAACAGCCCCTTTGTGCCCAGCCCCCAGCAGCTGTGCCAATGCCTGGGCCCGGGGACTTGTGGGGAGAGGGGGGGGAGGGGAGAGCATGGGCAGTCTGTTTTATCAGAACTGTGCAGAAAGGGAAGCTTTCCCTTGACCATGCCCCCCCCCCAGCTCCATCATTACCTTGGGAGCTCAGGACCCCAGCCCCATCCTCCCATTTCTCAGCCCACCCCAGACCTCAGGAGCCTGCTCTCCCGTGTGGCCAGCCCCTTCTCAGAGGGCGTGTGCAGGCGAGCCAGTGGGCAGTGACTAAGTGACTGATCGAGGAGGAGGAACAACCCCCACACAGGGCCAGGGGCCACAGGAACCAGGAAGGAGGGGGGAGGAGACTGTCCCCTCCCAGGAATGAAGGTCGTACCTTTGAAATTCCTTTATGTCCTTGAAGTCCAGCTAATAACGGTGTCTACATGCAGGTGTGTACTGGAACTTGTTGATGTTTTTCTAATGCAATAAACTCATCTCTGCCTGCTGCCTTGGTGTCTGCTCTGAGGGGCTGGGGAGGTGCCCACCTTGAAGCCACAAAGTTTGCTCGTTCCAGTCGTCTCCCTTCTGAGCGTTTCTGAGTCTAGTTGTCGTCTTTCTGGGTTGGGAACCTTGTGGATAAGAAGTGACAACAAGAAAAGGATGAAACGCCTTCTGTCCAGTCAGTTCCAACTCACAACCCTGCAGGACAGTGGAAGTGCCCAGAGGCTTCCAGGATCATCGCTCTTTCCAGGAGTGGACTAGACTGTCACAGCGCTCGGAGCAGCGGCAGGTGGGATCCAACCCCCCGGCCTTTTGGTTGGCACCTGATTGCTTTAACCACCGAGCCGACAGTGGTCCTGACATGGCAGTGGTACGGGGAGCACAGCCTGTTTATCAAGATGGCAAAAGAGCCCAGAGAGCCCGCTACTCGCCCAACATCACCACGCAAAAGAGGTGGCCAAGGAAGACCTGCGCCGGACCTGCTGGCCCCAAAGTGTGAGATCTGCCTCTCCCTGTACCCACCACCAAGAAGCAAATGTTTGCTTCCCGTTTCGGCTTGGCTATAGGCTGGCGCTGTGATTCCAGGGCCCTCTCCCCTCTTGGGACAGTGATCTCATTGAGCAAGTGTCAGGGTGCTTCTGATGCCCCCAGTGCTGCCTGTGGACCCAGCCTGGCTGCTGGTGTCTACACATCCAGTCGCCAGTGTTGAGACAGCACCTGGCATGGGCCCCCTGAGCGTGGTGCTATTACACACAGACCTGAGGTGTGGGTGTGGGCTCCCCTCAACGGATAAGCAAAATGGTGCAGCAACTAAGGAACCAGGGGGCACATGGGTGAGTTGGCACCACACTGTAGACTTCCTCCATGTTGCTAACAGGGATAAACAGAGGGTCCATCTCTCCAACAGGTCCAGGGGCAGGCGGCTTTGCTTGACAGCCGCTTCCTGAGAGCTGTCAGGTTCAGATCCAGGAGGCCTGGAGGCCTCTCTGAGATTGCAGCCAAAGGAGCCAGGCCCTTAAGCTGGTGAGCTACAGCCCACCTTTGGGGAAGGTAACAGAAACATGTCTGTCCCAAGCTTAAACCTTGTGATTCACGAAAGGCCAGCCCCACCAAGGTGATCTGGGATCCCACTGTGGGGGAGGCAACATTGAACTTTGTAACTTTGTGCTCAGGGGACAAACAGACCAGGTCCCTTCCCTGGTATTCCAGGGACGGAAGGCACACGAGGTAATTTTAGGGGGAGAGAGAGTGGCAGGCTAGTGCTTGAAGAGAATGTGAAGGGGGGGTGGCTGCTCTGGTGTAAGGTGCGAACTGAGACCTCAGCCCCAGAGAGCCGGATGAGGAGCATCCAGGCCGAGGGAGCCAGGGGTGGAGAGGGACTGCGCGGAGGCTGGAGCAGGGTAGTGGAATGCTGGGGAGGCCAGGCTGGCAAGACCTGGGCCCTAGGGGAAGCGGTCTTTGGGTTGACCGCAGCTGTGCTGCTGTGGAGAAAGGACTGAGCCCTGAGGGAGGGGACCAGCAGGCCGGAGTGAGTGCAGAGAACAGGGAGGAGATTGGTGCCTGTGTCCTGTGAGAGGGGACATGGACCCTGTAGACCCTGTGGTCTGTGCCCACCTCTGAAGAAGCACCGCCCCCAGTTACTGCGGCTCTGCCTCCAGGAGCTTGGTGAGCAGGAAGCAGAGCAACCTCGTGAGACCTGCCTTCCCAAGACGGGCAGAGGCCAGGCCTGTGGGGATGTGGGGCCACTGCCCCTGCTTCCACAGGCTTCCACCAGGCACCGCCAGTGGGTTTGGGTTCACTTCGATTTCTAAGGTTTTGTTTTTTTCCTAAAATGAAAATAGCTTTCCTGTTATTCCTGGTTATATGAAGATAATATGTATGTAGAGAAATTATACAAGTGAATAAAAATACGAAGATTAAAAGAAGGAAATTGGCCCAAATCCCACCAACCTCAACAAAGAACCCACTGGGAGGGCCTGCCTGGATGGGACAAGTGGTTTGCAATCAGCTGCAACTCACCCAAGGTGCCGTGCAAGAAAGGCCTGGCAGTCTGCATCTCTAAAGATGGCAGCCCAGGAAACTGCAGGGAGCACAGTTCTCTGAGCCCCTGCAGAGGCTCCTCCGGCAAGGTCACACTGCAGTGGGGGGATCTGGACACCAGGTGGCGCGATAGACTCGAGTACAGTACAAACTTGTCTCCTACACCCCAAGCACCCCTTAAGCCTTCAGCTTCACAGTCATCAAGGTCCTTTTTCAAACTGGCCCTCAGACCTTTCCCTCCAGCCGCACCTTTTGTCTGAATGAGGGTCCTTATCACTGCAGGGGGCTCACAGCCCTGGGCCTGCCTTTTCCTCCTCCCCACCTACTCCTCAGAGCACTCCTTCCCAAAACCTTCCTGGGCTCTCCCCACCCAGCTGGCCCCTTCCTCCTGGTGCCCACCCACCATTCTGAGTGCTCCCCAAGGGCAGGCCCACCGGGACTCCGGGAGAGCTTGATCAAGGGCTGCTTTCTTGATCACTGAAGCCCCCAGAAAGGGCGACCCTGCCCCACACTACCCACCCCCCTTGACTTGAGATATGCCATGTCCAAGTTCTCCACATGCTCAGAGTCCAGTTCTGACCTCTGGGAGCTGGGAGCTTAGAGTGAAGTCAGGCAGGGACAAGAGACCACTGACTCAAATGCTAAGGGGCAGCCACCTCAGCCATACCCTGACCCCACTCCCAGGAGGGGCAGTACTGTGGCCAGATGCCACTGGTTTTGACAGAAGGAGCCCCAAGGGGGCCTGAGGCAACCCAGCAACTATGGCCTTGTTTATTGTGAAAGCAATGTACGCATTTTGAGAAGTGGAGGGAGAAAACACCGTTATCAAGATCTCCCCGGCCTCCCTATCCCTGAACCAGGTGAAATGAAAAGCCCTGACCAGCCTAGCCTGGCCTGCTCTTCTCGGAAGCCTCTTTAAGTACATCCTGAGACACACCTCCAGTTTCCTGATGGCCCAGTGAAGCTGTCAGTGTTGACCCAGTTCACAGAACAGTCAGGCAGCAGGAGAAAGAGGCCAGGCCAAGTTCACCTGGCTGGGGAGACACAGACCCTGGACCTGCCTCCCACCCCACCCCACCCCCGGCTGTCCACCCCATATACCAATGTCCCCTCTGGCTGGAACTGCCTGCCCTCAGAAAGGCACACACTAGGTAGAGCTGGTCAACAAACCCCTCTTCACCCAAGACCGTGTTGACACTGGGTCTTCTAGCGACAGCCAGGAGCCCAGGAAAAGCATGCATTTGTGGCGAACAGAACCGACTGTGAATCTCAGTGGTCCTATACGACTCTGGGAAAGTCACTCTGCCTCCCTGGTGTCAGTTGTTGGGGGCCCGGGAGCAATCCTTCCTGGTCCTACATGGTCCTCACAGTCATTACTGTTTGAGCCCATTGTGTGCAGTCGAACTAGAAATGGAGTGAAAGGGGACTCGACTCAGAGGGTTGGTGGGAAAAGTGAGTGAAAATGTCCAGGACAGGAATCCCACCGCCCAAACCAAACCTGGACGCCACTGACCTCCAATCTCAGCCATCTGCTGGGCCCAAAAGGACGCAACATCTTCCTCTCAGGCCCTCGCCCTGTGTTTTCCAGTCCCTAGAACCCCCCTTTGAGCCAGCCAGTCCCTCCACCAGTTTGCTCCTCCCTCCTGCCAGGGCCTCCTGAGAGCCCTGACTCAGCCCAGTTACCAGGGACGGGCCTCCCTTGGAAAGGAACAAGGACTACCCGGCCTGTCCTCTTGGGCCTGTGCCTCCAGAGCAAGTCCCGCCCCTGCTCTGGGTTGAGGGGCGAATCCACGAATCCACGGAGAGACATTGTGAAAGGTATTGGCCAGGAGACAGAATACAGGTCTAAGGCACTGCTGAGCTGTCACCAACCAGGGGAGCTTCTCTGGGTCCTTGGAAAGAAAGGAGTGTCCTCCTCAGCAGTGCCCAGGGGTTGCATTTCATCAGTTCTTGGCTGAAATCTGTTTCAGCGTTTTATGCTGGGTTCTTAAGCTATGGGAACAGGCATGAGCAGTGAGGTATCAGCGATAACATCTGTGCGGGTGCCACCCAACCCACCTACAGGTGCTAAACCAGGAGGGACTGGGAGGGCCCTACCTAGTCCCAAAGTCACAGAGATGAGAGCCGGATGGAACAGGAATTGCAAAGAACAGGGTTCGGTTATCCACTCTCTCACAGGAGACAAAACCGGGCTTCTTTGCTATCTTCCTTCAACAGAAAGTACAGAAATTCCCCAGAGGAGAGCCTGGGTTTTGTGCCCCATGGACTCCCAGAACCCAGAACAATGAGTAGCACAACACCCTTGCTGAATAAACAAGCCAAACCTCTGGCAGGCCAGGGAAAACCCTGACTCCCTGGTGCCTCACACTCCAGTCTGGCTCCTGGGCACAGGCCTACTGCTGGTCTGATATTTTGACAATTTACCGATTGTGGGGTTTCGTGGTGGTTAGATGACAGTGAGCCACAGTGAGTGGATGTACCACAGACACATTCCAGGACTTTTTTTATTGGGTGCCCGGAACCTTGGCGAGTACTGAAACCTACAGATAAAGACACTGTATTGGGCTTACGTCCGAAGGTACTTGGTGTGGAAAGCTGCAGGTTACAGTGGGAGCCCCAACTCCATCTGGAGTCTTGACCTAAGCTCAGACCCCATCGGAGTTCTTTCTAACCCTTAACCAGCAACGTGGCAGCTTTGCCTTCAGGCAGAGTATGTTTGAAAGCAGACTGTAACAAAATAAAAATAATTTATAAATTATCAAGGGTTTGTGAGGGAGGGGGGAGCAACGAGGGAGCGGGGAAATGAGGAGCTGATATCAAGGGCTCAAGTAGAAAGCAAATGTTTTGATAATGATGATGGCAACAAATGTACAAATATGCTTGATACAATGGCTACATGTATGGATTGTGATAAGATTTGTATGAGCCCCCAATAAAATGATTTTTTTTAAAAGAAAGTAGACTAACTCTAATGACTAAGGTCTTATAAATGCTGAGGAGCAGGGTCATCTAAGGCAGCGGTTCTCAACCTATGGGTTGCGACCCCTGTGGGAGTCAAACAACCCTTTCACAGGGGTCGCCGGATTCATCACAGTAGCTAAATGACAGTGATGAAGTAGCAACGAAAATAATGTTATGGTTGGGGGTCACCACACATGAGAAACTATATGAAAGAGTCACGGCACGAGGAAGGTGAGAACCCCTGAAGATGCTAAGGTGTAACTAACCCCCTGCCCCTCCCGTTCTCAGGTCCTACAACCCCAGGGGAGAGAACCATGAACAAACCCCGAGACTCATGGACTGCTGGACCCTTTGAGCAGGCCACTGCCAACTGCGCTAAAAGGGCTCACATTAGCAGGTCCTCACTAGAGTGAGGGAAAGTGGAGTACAAGACACAAAATCCTCAGGTCCAGGCTTACTGATCAGACAGAGACTGATGGAACCCTTGAGACTATATGGCCCTTCAGACTGGAACTGAACATATCCAACTTTGAGCTCAACTTTCAGCCAGACCAGAGGCCTGACACGAGAATGAAGGGAGTATACATCCGTAGGAACAGTCAACCCCACGAGATCCAAAGGTCAGCACTCGCTGTGGGACAAAGCTCCGGGGGTGAGAAGAGATGAGAAAGGAGGAGGAATGGAGACACTAAGTGGTGAGGACCACAGACAAAGACAACACAGGAAATGTGGATGTCTGTCCCTGACCAAGGAGATGCCCTGTGTCACTCCCTACCTGCTCGCTGCTCTCAGGGAGGACACCTCCCCCAGTGCCAACGACATCACGAAAGTTCTGGGAAGTGTGGGCATCGAGGCCAACAACCAGCTCGACGAGGTCACCAGTGAGCTGAAAGGTAAAAGCATTGAAGAGGCCACTGCCTGGAGTATTGGCGAGGTTGCCAGTGTGCCTGCTGGTGGCACGGTGGCCGTTTTTGCACCTGGGGGGCTCAGTAGCCCCAGCTGCTGCCTCGGCCCAAGAGCAGCAGAGGAGAAAGCCGTGGGCTTTGGCTTGTTTGAATAAACCCACTTGCTGATACTGAAGCCTTTTTCTGTTT